TTTTCACCTTTCTTTTTCTTTTCCTATCTTTCTTTTCCTCCACCTCCTTCCTCATTCCACCAGCCCGTTCTATCACAAACTTTCACCTCCCCCTTTCTTCTCCTTCCAAGTTCCACCGACCCTTTCTTATGCCCTGTCTTCTTTCTTCTGCCAAGCAAATGATTGATCTTCCGTCAGCGCTGCACTGGACAGAGTCCGAGAGGAATCCAGGTCGTCGCCTCGCCGGAGATGCTCAAGTACTCGCACGACAGTCTTCTCCTTTCCACGATTCGATGGATTGGAAGCCGGGGAAGATGCTCCGTCGAAGATTGTGAGCCAGAAAGTCGGAGACGGTGCTCTTGAAGCCTCCAGACCACTCCCAGGTCCGTAGCTTCAATTTGGGTGTATACCGTAGTCAACGGTAGAGAAGAGGCGCATGGAGGAGGGTGAAGGTCGGGAAACCACGAGCAGAACACTGGCTGAAGAAGAAAATGGGGAAGAAAGAAAGGAATAAAGAAGGAAGAAGTTGCAGAGACTGTGAGGCGCAGGGAAGAAGGCACAAGGAGGGAAGAAGGCGCAGGGAAGAAAGGGGAATAGGAAGGAAAGAAAAATAAAAATAAAAATAAAATGAAAAAAAAAAGAAAATAAAAAATGCCACATCACACACCAAATAGGCAAATAACCGGATAAATGGTAGAGTACCTACTAAAAGGAGGATTTGCCATTTTTAAATGAGTTTAGGGGTTTAATTGGGTGAAATTTTAGTATAGGGGTCTAATTGTTTTTTTTGAAAAGTTAGGGGGCTTATTTGATAGTTTTCCCTAATAATAATAATATTAATTATAATAATTACAATAACAACAACAAGAATAATAATTATTATAATTATTACAATTATTATAATTATTATAATTATTATAATTATTAGAATTATTATAATTATTATAATTATTATAATTATTATTATAATTATTATTATAATAAAAAGGATAAATCATATCTGAACTTTTCTGATCTGATCTGAATGTTCCTGATCTGATCTGAATGTTCCTGATCTGATCTGAATGTTCCTGATCTGATCTGAATGTTTCTGATCTGATCTGAATGTTTCTGATCTGATCTGAATCTTTCTGATCTGATCTGAATGATTCTGATCTGATCTGAATCTTTCTGGTCTGATCTGATCTGATCTGAATTTTTCTGATCTGATCTGATCTGATCTGAATAAAATAAGAATAAGCAATAAGTAATAAGATTAAGACGAACAGAACAGCTTCTAAGGCTTTGTGCTACTCCTCCTATCAGGTTGACCTTTTAGGATGGAACCCTGAGTCTTAACACTCCGTCCCAAATTGATATGCAAATGTTTTGGTCAAACAGTTTCATTTTATTCGCTTGATTAGAATGCTAATTTCAATTATATTCTAATTTGGAGTTTGCAGTTTTAAAGAGGTTTCAATGTAGTTATTGAATATGTAAATTTTAATTATTAAAAATTGAATTAATTATAGATTAAGAGGATTGACTTTTATTATTGGTTGACCAAAAAATATTTGGGATGGCGGGAGTAATTTTATGCTTTTATCAAGGTATTTTTTACAATTGTCCATGTTGAATTGGTTTGGTCTGATCGTATAGTACTTTTATAAAATTGTCCATATAATTTTGGGAAAATGGAAACTAATAATCCAACCTTTTAGCGGTCTTCTTACAATAGTCCCACCTTTTGATTATTCATGAATAATCCAACATTTGCACCTCATCTTCATTCACTGGTCTCTGACCGGTTGATGATCTGCTATTCCAAGTTATTTTCTTATCTTTGCAAAATATTATCTTTGTGAAAGGTGAGATTTATGGTATAATGGTTTGCAAAGATAAGAAAACAACTTGGAATGGTAGGTCATCAACCGGTCAGGGACCAGTGAATGAAGATGAGGTGCAAAGGTTGGATTATTCATGAATAATCAAAAGGTGAGACTATTATAAGAAGACCACTAAAAGGTTGGATTATTAGTTTCCATTTTCCCTATAATTTTCACATTTGAAGGCCTAGCTCACATTGTATGTTTAGATAATACTCATATTTGGTTTAATTGGATCGTATACTTCATAGTGATTTTGATTTGATCTGATTTTATTTGATTTGTGATTGAAAGTAAGTCTCACATAGAAGAGCCTTATGCTTTCTTTTTTTGGGTAGAAATTTATAGGTGTGAACGGAGTAGTTTATTCTGGTGATCTGGTTTCCAAAAAAAAAAAAATCGTTATTCAATTTGGATCGGTTGTAAATTGTATTCAATTAGTATTTGTATTCTGTACGTAGCTAGTAATAATAATATAAATATAGAAAGCAAAATAACCTAATACTACATATTAAAGAAGCACGCTTGCATATCAGATCAATATATCATCAAAACCTACACATAAACTCCCATATATATGTCACGCAGCCGCCATTATCCGATCCCCCAGCCTTCTAATTCATAGAAGCAATTAACATGAAGGTCCAAAACCCACTTTCAGCCCTACCATCAGAGATCAGCCACGACATTTTGTTAAGATTGAAGCCGAGGCATCTGTTCATAGCTCAATGTGTGAGCAAACAATGGTATTCCTTCATAGAATCCATCAAGCTCTCGTATACCGGGCAACCGCGAATTCTCATCCTCTGGCGCCGTACTGTCCAGCCAGGAGAACGTACGGAGTTGAGATTAACAAGCCCTGATCTTCTCAGTCAACGCATATATGAGTTCAGTGGGCATGCATATTTTTCTTCACTATGGTTGAGGGTTTTGGGTTCATGCAATGGGTTTGTGCTGCTTGGGTTTGCAGAACACATTGTGTTGTGGAACCCACATACAGACTGGTCTACCAAAGTTCTTGAGCTTCGGAACCTTCGACATCCTGACCAAAAGGTGGTCGGAGGGCTTTGTTACGATCCATCCACGTCAGATCACAAAGTTGTCTTATTGCTTTGTCCAATCACTAAGGACAATAGTGGTCAGATTGTCCTTGTTTCAAGCATGAAAAATAAAGGTTGGCGAAAAGTGCCCTTCCCCTATAACTATCTCACTTCCCGAGCTGGGGTCAGCTTTAACAATACACTCCATTGGATAGTAAGTGACATAAAAGACTGTTGGAGAGATGAGGATGAAGACGTAACTTTTGATGGTGATGATCAAATGGAATGGGACCATTTTGCTGGGTGCAATAAGATTGTTTATTTCGATCCGGTTGATGACACTTTCAAAATATTGCCCTCCCCGACACGGATGAATCCGGAAGAAGAAGACTCGATAGTTGGTACGGGAATCATAGATGGATGTTTTAGCATGGCTCGGAAGGATGAAAATAGGCAATTGATCCAAGTATCAGTTATGAAAGAATATGGAAAACAAGAGTCTTGGGTCACATCCTTTGTCATCTCCTTATCTGAACTTGGACTATGTGAGCTTTTCAACCTCAAGCTTTTTTCTCAAAATGGGAAGGTATTGATGAAGGGTGACTATTTCGGGAGCACATATGTGTATGATATCAAAGAAAACAGACTAGAACGGAAAAAGTTTCTTGTACGAGATGGTGTTGAGGGTGAGGGCATTGTTGGTATTTCCTTCTATGTTGAAAGTCTTGACCTTCCACATGAAGTCAGTTGGAGGGAGGGTGATGAGCAAAATTCCAGTCTTCCAAAGGCTTTGGAATGCTTCAGAAAATGTGCACGTGCTTTTTCTTGTGATTAAAGATAGGGAAATTTCCTAGGATATGACTAAAACTCAATGAGTTTCTTAATGTATGACCTAACTAGTTTTAAGACCTTTGTATGACCGAAAATCCACACAAAAAAAATAGAAATTTCGTTTATATTTAAAGATTGAGTGATGAAAATGCCCTTATTTAAAATATGTGCAATTTGCACTAATTTTGTCCGGTTAAAATTACTGCATTTGTATTCCAGTTACTGCATGGCATTAATGCATGACTTTACTGCACATTCGATATTAATCAGTGCACTTCCGCCAAAAATAATTTTCTTCTCATTTAATTGAGTAATTTATTTTTAGTTTTTATTTTTTATTTGTTTAGATTTAATAAATTTATTATTTTACATCTAATTAAGTATATTGCATTTCATGAAGATATTACTATTTTATGTTACTGCACTATTGGTCATAATCAATGCACTTCACACCAAATTTTATTGCATTCAATTCATCATTGCACAACATTTTTTTCAATGCTCTCATTCACTGTTCATGTACATTACTATATGTATTGATGTTCATTGCTTATTTTCATCAGTATTTCTTGTCATATTCATTGCCCATATTTATTGCCCATATTCATTGCTGGTTTTCAATGCGTATGCATCTTACCCATGTCTAAAAAGCCTAAATTCAAGAAATGAAAAGATCAATGCGTATGCAGGTAATTCGTGCTTCAGCAAACACTGTGCGAACAACAAAGCAATTAATTATTTTAAATTAAAAAAAACTCTTTCAAAAAAAAAATTCAACTTATGTTTTCCACAAATCGTGAAGGGGCACTCATTCAAACTTGCAGATCTGATGGTCTGCTTTGGCCGTACTCCCCAAGATCCCAAATCGATTCTAAACCTTCTCACAAAGCCAACTCCTTCCAAAGTATTAGCCGCACCATGAACGCTGCTCCTTTGCTGCCAAGGTCGAAGTTGTTGCTTGACACACAGACTGGAGAAGTGGAGAACTACCATCTCTCGCCTTTGAGTCAACGAGTCAACGACAGAGGATGATGGATTGATGTCGAGGGAGTCCTTGGCATATAGGTCGGGCGATTGTGATCCCAGACCAACGATCTATCTTTGGAAGGCGGCAGATATGCTCCAGGCCAGAGACTCGTGGCCGGCAGCGGCGCTGGACGGAGGCCGGCGGCGGCGCTGGACGGAGGCCGGCGGAGTCTCGACAGTGGCTGATGCGTGGATGGGCGGCGTAACTTATCAAGTAGGGTTGGAGAAAAAATGAGCAGGAGATTAGGGTTGTATAGGTATAACCTAAAGGGTATTTAATTTTTATCGAGATAAAGGTTAATTCAGTACATGAGGTTGCACCATGTAGAGTAAAGAGTACATCATCTTGAAAATGAAACACAATGGTACATATAATTGCATGTTTAGTGCTAAATTGGTACAAAAACGAACACACCGTCTAAAATGCTAACGTGGCCGTTTTCTTGGTTGACAGTGGAGGCTGTCTCAGCAAGCCCCAACGTTTTCTTTGCAACCTGGAACAACCTTTTACCTCACAAGCCCCAAACATCCATTTGATATCCGACCCGGCCCGATGTGTTTATCAATCATCTGCCGAAGCTCTATCTCCAGTTATCCATACTCGCTTCCAAACCTAAACTTCTTATCCCACCAACGCGCTCACCCAAATCCGTATCCGGCCCGATCGCCAACTTCTTCGATGTTCTTCTCCAAGCCCCAAACATCGTCGGTTCGAATAAGACTAGCCCGGTCGAAGTCTCACCGGGAAAGCTCTTTTTTTTGCCGGAAACGGATGTTATGGTAGAAAAAGCGTCGTTTGGTTCCCGGATCCTCAAGGGCTCCAACATAGTGCTCATGCAGACGGAGTTTGTGAATACCGAGGACTATCCCGCCGATGGGTTGCCGGAATTTGCGCTGGTTTGGAGGTCTAGTGTGGGACTGGGAAATCATCGCTGATTCACTCCTTAACTCTAATGTTAGGCGTTAGAAGCTTGCTCTTACTTCCAAGAAATCTGGTATGCTCTCCAGTATAGTACTCCGTATGATTTATTTTTCAAGTTGGAAGAATGGAAGGTTAAATCTTGGGTTTGCTGGGTCATTAATTAGTTTTAACGAGTGGCAGAGCCAGCCGCCGGGAGCGCGCACATGATATGGCTTTTTTTTTGTGTATTTCATTACTCTGTTTGCCTAGTCAGCAATATCAACGGTGTAATGTAACGGATGTACTGCTTTAACACCAAACAAGCGAGTACAAGCACCATTAGGGTTGAGTTTCAATTTGATGTACTCTTTACTCTATGTCCCTCAACTTTATGTACTTACTTGACCATTTCCTCAATTTTTATCCCTAAAATTTATTTATTATTTAATTATTTCGAATTTTAATTAAATATTTCGAATTTTAATATTGAGAAACTCTTTGAATTTTAGTCATACCTAGGGTAATTATCTCTTAATTTTTTTTAGAGTATCTCTTAAAAAAATATTGGTGCTTCAAGATATCAATATATAGCATATCTAGCATATTGATAACTAGCATATCTGGTTCTTTATGGTGCAGTTATACACTGTATATTCAATTGGTGCTATTTTATGCTTTTGAGTAATGAGTAATGTATCTTTTCCCATGAAACTAAATGATCTGACTATTAATAAGCAATTTTGGGGTCAGTTGAAGGGTTTTAGACTTGAAAAGTGAGTTTTTTGTTTTTCTTGAATGTGCTTCAAGTCTTTAACCAGCTTCATTAGCTAGCTATTCTTCCGCTGCTCAGCTCTGCTATTCCAAAGACTTCATTCTCTAGAATGAAAGTAACAAAAGCATGACACATACATTTCATCTTTAAAGAAGTTAGGGTAGCATCAATTTCTGAAAAACAAAAATAAAATTGAAGATATAATTGAAACTGGATTTACCCAAGTTGCCCGGGGTTTATTGGTCTAGCTAGGTCCGGACCAGGTATTCAATGGTCAGCTAGGTAATGCAAAGTTATTATGCACACTTCCAGGTTGAAAATTTAATATCTTCTACTCTTATTTAAGGAATGTGTTCTGGTTATTATATTACCAATTGAAGTAATCATATTTTTTTGGAATTTTAACATGAGAAATTTTATCAATCCAGGACCCGAAAGATAAAATGTGCCTGTATTGGGCCTAAATGATTGAGAACTATCAATCTAGAAAGAATGGCATGAATAATACTTTCCAGGTTTTGTTAGACCAAAATATGAGCATTTTTAGAAATCCCAAAAAAGTAACTGGCCTTTTAACTCATTGACTAGCCTCATCAAACGTCTCTCTGCCTTTCCTCTCCGTACAATTCTGCCCAACTTGAGATGTCGCCATTTGAGATCTACGCAAGATAGCGCCTCCATCTTGCTCAACACAGCCACACCTCAATCGTTGTGAATGAGAGCCGCATCTCCAGCGCGGCAAGCCAGATCCGCACCTCCATCGCCGCACGTCGGAGTCGAACCACCTTTGCCGCAAGTAATTGTCGCAGCGCCTCCATCATCGCCACCGTTTGACCGCCGCACCTCCATCATCAAAGTTACTTCTTCTCTTCTCGCGAGCTCTACATCTACTTCTAATATACTATTGCCGGAGCCGAACCACCACCGTGTGATTTGGATCTCAGGGCGGCAAAAATGGGCTGACGGCTAGCGTTAATGGCGGAGGTTGTGGGATGGCGATTCGGGGCTAGGGTTGGGGACTGTCAGTTGGAGGCTAGGGTTGGGGGCTGTCTAGTTAGGGTTGAGGCTGAGGGCTGGGGGCCTGAGCCAGGTCCGGTGGTTTGAGGGATGGCTGATTGGGATGGGGCAGGCATTATGGGGTGGGGCAGGGTTGGAATGATGAGGGCAGGGCAGGGCTAGGGTGATGGGGGGTAATGCAGGACTGTGTTGATGGATGTGGGGCAGGGCAGGCAGGGGGTGTTGCGGGGATAGCCGCCATTGTGGCGGCCGGCTGTGGTGGTGGTCAGTAATGAAGGTGGGATGTGTCACTAAACGAAAACGACCACAGTGACATGAGCGGCGGCTGTAGTGACACGCACGGTGGCTGCAGTCACACGGGCGGTGGTTACAGTGACACGGACAGTGACTACAGTGACACGCGCGGTGGCTATAGTGACACGGATGGTGGCTACAGTGACACAGATGGTGGCTACAGTGACATGAGCGGTGGCTACAGTGACATTGGTGGCGGTGGCCGCAGTGACACGGGCGACAGCGGCAATGACATGGGCGGTGGCGGCAGTGACATTTGATAGTGACATTAAAATCTGGGAATAACATTAATATGACCTTCTTGATCACTTTTTTGCCCCTTTTTAAAAGTGGTCACTTTTTTGGTAATTGGTTCAAAATTAGTAATATTCAAATAAAAAACCCATCAATCTATGACCTAAATAGTCATAAAATTTTTTATTTTTTATTTTTAAAATTTTAAATATTATTTAGTTTTTCTAAACGAATAAACTTTTGTGAAGAAACCCTCATCAAAATTAAAATTAGCAATGGAGTTAATTAATAAAAAACTATAGAATTTTAGATCCTTGATTGATAGTTTTCAATCATTCGGGTGATATACCGACACATATTAACTTTCACGACCCGAATTGATAAGGTACATATTTCAGTTTCTTAATTGATGAAATTCTTTTAAATAATAATAATAATAATAATAGAGGTGCATTTTTTAGTACTTCATTTTTCCTTAAATAAACTTCGTACTTTTCTTGATATAATGTCCCTTAAAAAGTCTCTCTATCTTTTCTTTTGGACTAAAATTTGTTGGTCTGATCAATCTGATTTGGCCTTATATGATCTGATTTGGTCTGTAACTAAAAATAGTCCAAAAGAATACATCCTTCTTTCATTATTTGATATACAAATGTAGTGATGTGATTTGATTTGGTTTGAGATTGAAAGTAACCCCACATGAAAGAGCCTTATGTATTCCTAATTTGGGTAGAAATTTAGTGGCGTGACCCAAATTATACTCTTTTTTTTACAGAGACCGTAGTTGTACTGGTTAATTGTGATGATCTGGTTTCCAAAAAAATGGTTATTAAAGAAGGACGCATGATTATCAATGTCATCAAACCCTATCACGCAGCCGCCATTATTATATCCGATCCCCCTTGTATTCACAGAAGCAATTAACATGACGGTCCAAAACCCACTTTCAGCCCTACCGTCAGAGATCATCCGCGAGATTTTGTTAAGATTGGAGGGTAGGCATTTGTTCATAGCTCAATGTGTGAGCAAACAGTGGTATTCCTTCATAGAATCCATCAAGCTTTCCTATACCCGGCAACCGCGAATTCTCATCCACCTGCGTCAAGACAGGGCTGGAGATCAGCGTACGGGATTGAGATCAACAAGCCCTGATCTTCTCAGTGAACGCATACATGATGAGTTCACACTAAATGAATGCTGTTTGAGGGTTTTGGGTTCATGCAATGGGCTTGTGCTGCTTGGGTTTGGAGAACACATTATGTTGTGGAACTCGCATATGGGCCGGTTTACCAAAGTTCTTGAGCATCGATGCCTCCGATATTCTACCCAAATGGTGGTTGCAGGGCTTTGTTACGATCCATCCACATCAGATCACAAAGTTGTCTTATATCTTTGTGCATTCGTTCTGGACGATAGTAGTCAGATTGCCTTTGTTTCAAGCATTAAAAATAAAGGTTGGCGAAAAGTTCCCTTCCCATATAACTATATCACTTCCCGAGCTGGGGTCAGCTTTAACAATACACTCCATTGGATATAGTAAGTGACATAAAACACATTTGGAGAGATATGGATGAAGATGCATTTTATGATGGTGGTGATCAAACGGAATGGCACCCTACTGATGGGTGCAATAAGATTGTTTATTTCGATCCGGTTTATGACTCTTTCAAAATATTGCCCTCCCCGACACGGATCAATCCAGAAGAAGAAGACAAGATAGAAGGTATGGGAATCATAGATGGATGTTTCTGCATGGCTCGGAAGGACGAAAAGAGGCAACTGATCCAAGTATCAGTTATGAAAGAATATGGAAAACAAGAGTCTTGGGTCACATCCTTTGTCACCTCCTTATCCAAACTCAGACTGTGTGGGTTTTTCAACCTCAAGCTTTTATCTCAAAATGGGAAGGTATTCATGAAGAGTGACTATTTCGGGAGCACACATGTGTCTGATATCAAAGAAGACAGACTAGAACGGACGAAGTTCCTTGCACGAGATGGTGTTGAGGATGAGAGCATTGCTGGTATTCTCTTCTATGTTGAAAGTTTTGACTTTCCACGTGAAGTGGGTTGGAGGGATGGTGATGAGCAAAAATGCAGCCTTGGTTTGAAACGCTACAGAATATCTGTACGTACTTTTTCTTATGATTAAAAAAAGTTATTGGTACTTCAAGATATCAATATTCACTCTCAAGACCACATGATTGATAACTAAAAAAGAACTTAACGTTTCAAGCTGGATTGTTATGGTGTACGTAGTAAAAACGAACCTATATTCAATTGGTGCTATTTTATGCTTTGAGTAATGACCTTATCAAAAGATTTTATACATAGTCTACTTATATATAAGAAAAAAAAAATAGCTCATCCAATGACTTTTCTACCCTTCTTGAAGCTTATGTGGTTGTGTGTCCTGCTTTCTCTCCTTTCACCTTGTAAGGCCACTTGGCTTCCTAATTTTTAAGCATGCCTTTGTTTGCTCACCAGAAGTAAAGAAACGGTAAAACCCTCTCATCTCCTCACACAAAGATTGCCGCACCAGCTGTTCGCCGAAACTAGGTCCTATTTTCATGTTTATCTTCTCCGTAATATACAAATTTACAGCCTCACTTCTCTCATCTCCTCCAGGTATTTTAACAATGTTTGATTTTATTTAGAATTCTTCGCTAATCGAGTACGAGATTGCTGCACCAGCTATTCGCCGAAACCAGGAGACCTCCAATGTCACTATACATACAGATGCAGATCGAAATTGGGGCTTCATACTCCCACTGGCCGACTAGGAGAGGTACTACTCTCTAGTTCTACATTTGTCTATTCATTTGTTGTGTAATCTATTGATCAGCTACTGTTGAAATAAACTTCGATTTGAACTAAGATAATTAAACTCCAGATGCTTTAAAAATGCCCACACATGTTGAACTATGCAATTAAATCAAACATACTATTTCAAATGCTTCTTTTTGCTTCTGTTTTATTTAGCATATTTTCTTTTTGTTCTGTAATTTTTTTAACTAATAGCATTAAACATTTGCTTAAACACTTGTTGAACTATAGCAATAATCATAGCGTTCTTTAGCACGAGATTGGTTTTTCTTCTTACAGTTCAATAGGGTATAGGTAAATCTGCTTTCAATTCTTTCAAATGCATCTTTTTGCTTTTGTTTTGGAACAACAAGTTTTCTTTATGTTTTGTCATTTTTTCGATGAGGCGATGACCCTTGTTTTGAGTTCAACTAATAACATTAACCGTTTGCTTAAATACTTTCTCAACTATATCAGTAATCATAGGGAGCTATAACAAAAGACTGATTTCTCTTCTTATAGTTCAAGATAAATATGTTTTCATTTCCTTCAAAATTAAAACATCTTTTTGGTTCTGTTTTGATCAGCATGTTTTCTTTTTGTCCTGTCATTTTTTTCAACCAAGTCAATTTCTCTTTAAGAAAAGGAGAATATAGATCCAGTGAGTTTATATATAGCAAAAAGTGGCGATATACTCAAAAGGATTTGCAATATAAGAAGAATAATCCATTGAGTAAGTAGGTTTATAAAAAAACTGCTATTTTCTTAGTTAGGAAAATATATTTTTCCATTTTTCCATTAGTAGGTGACTTTTATTTTATTCTGACATTTTCATTTTATGATCATCCATGCCAACAAGCCCACCTTTACCTAAACAATGACATAAAAAAACTCTAACTAATATTGTCAATATTAGACTAAGAAGGTTTAACATGGTCTAACATCAATATCTTCATTTTGCACATTATTATATAGTCTCTATCTTGATGGTTATCGGTAGTTTCTTCATTTACTTGATTTGTGGAAATGTTCACTTACTTGATTTCTAACCTATTACATTTTTCTAAATGATTTTTTTTACAATTCATTAGTTCAGTCAATATGGCACGTAAAATAAACGCAATTGAAGAGATCAATGACACCAAAGAGACATGAAAGATTGCAGTTAGGGTTATATCACTCTGTTCTGCCCAGTCTCCTTCGAAGTTCATTGAAATGGTTTTAATGGATGCGACAACATGATTATCTTTTTTTACATTTTTTCATATTAAATGAAATATATTGATCAACCTTTTAAATTCATAAATAACTATTCAAAAATTCTCACAAATTAGGGACATAAGATAGGGACGATTGCAAGAAATGCAGGTATTATGGAAGCCAAAGATCAAACAAAAAGAGACATATGTGATGCAAAGCTTCAATATACTGTGCAATGAAGGACACTACTGTAGGACATGTGATCACCCATTCAAGCTCCAATTTACAACTGGTACAACGCCGAAATATCAAGAACTTCCCGATATCCCTAGAGATTACTATACCTTTAAAAGGTTCGATGAGATATTAAGTGGCAACCTCCGTACTGATTTTTGGTTGGTAAGTTTTCGTCCCGAATTACACGACTATATTTTTCCACCCCATAATAACTAAGTAAACATAACTATCTAAATGCAAAACTTTCATTTTTAATGAAACTAGATACAATTGGAGCTTTGCATGAAATTGTGTGTTCCAACATTAGTACTCCGTTGAAAAAAGTAGCATTCTTGATGAAAGATCACGTGATGTCATTTACTTTCATTATTTTTCCTACTTTATTAAGTAATACTACAATATTAAAAATATTTTTCATTAATTAATTAAAACATTATGTTATAATGTAATGGTGATATGATAACGTGCACTGTATGACAAGGTTATGCTTCGAAGTACTTGGAGTTTCATAACAAGCATAAATTTGAGCTAATTGTTGTTATATTGACACATGTGAAAATCAAAGAACCAGAAGGTAAGGTTGAAGTGTTTTATTATATTATCCTCCGTATTACTTAAATGTGAATATATCTTCTTTAGAAATGTATACTTAATAAAGATGTTAGGATTTATTTACTTTTTTGAAATGTTAGAAATACATCCCACATACATTCAAAATAGTAAGTACGGATCCAATCCAAATTGCTTATTAATGAGCACATTGAGGAAATTAAGAAATTTAAAGATAGGTTCAGTTTTCTCATCAATCTAATGACACTTAAGTTTTGTAGTTCACATACTTCATTGTTTACTATCTTCATTGTTAAATATGTAATCCCTGTTTGGAATAATAACAACTATTGCTCAGGACAAATGAACGAAGCACCCGTTCAAAGTCAAAGTCAACTTACAAATTCCATATTTAGAGAGCACGACAAGTTGACATATCGAGCCAGTGTTATGAGTATTTCAGATATGAATCTTCTTATAGAGGTTTAAATAAATCTCAATTAGTTTAGAAATATTAGTACACCAATAATATAACATTATATTTCAAGCATCACTATTTTCTAGAAATTTTACATTTACTCTTTTATAAAAATATATTTATTTCAAAATCTGTTCTTTCCCTTTACTTTTTTTTAATTTATTTCCCAAATATATCAAACTTATTTTTTGGTCACTTAAGATTCTCTTTTTTCAATTAGTAATCTTATAAGATGTTATCTCATAATCTATTATGTCATAATATTATCTACAAAACGTGTCACATTTGGCAAAATTGGGAAGTTTATTTATAGTTGAAAAAAGTGAATGGAGCTATGAGGCTTGCTCTGTTACCTATGCTAGGTCAACCTCCAAAGTTTTCCCAATTGTTCATATAAGATACTGAGCATGAGATACAAAATAGGATTCAAGGAATAAGGTTACACGTGCATTAATTATATCAAGAAACACTAAATACAAATTTATTAAATTATTTTTTTCTCATTATATGTGATTGTTCAATTGTACCCGATGTCCTTGTAGAAACCGAAATGATATAGATGAACAGATTGTTTACAAATTATCAGCCATTCTACATGAATACAATGTGGATGCAAAATCCTTTAGGATGACTAAGGAAAGATTGCAAGATGCACATGTGAAGGATCTACAGTTAAAGTTAATTTCTGACAGATTTAACGATGGCCTAGTATATAATCTACCTACGGTTCAGAAGTTGCTTCTCTTATTGTTGGAGACGTTGACACTTCATAAAAAAGAGATATAAGAATGGAGACGCGAAGTCGTACACTTCAACGAATAAGTAAGCTGCATACTAGAACTGTTAGAATTACTTGTATTACTTATCACTATGAAACACGTCATGCATGTATCCATCCTTACCTAGTATGCAGCCCATATATTCGTTGAAGTGTATGACTTCGCTTTTCCATTATTATATCTCTTTTTGATGAAGTGTCAACATCTCCAACAATAAGAGCATGAACTTCTGAAACCGTAGGTAGATTATATACTCGGCCTTCGCTAACACGGTCAGAAATTAACTTTAACCGCAGATCCTGCACAAGTGCATCTTGCAATCTTTCCTCATCCATCCTAAAGGAATTTGCATGAACATTGTATTCGTGTAGCATGTCTATTAATTTGCACACAATCTATTCATTTATGTCATCTCGGTTTCTATAAAGGACATCAAGTACATTGAACAATCACTTATAATGAAAAATACTCCGTAATAATTTAATAAATTTCTATTAAATGTTTCTTGATAAAATTAATGCATGTGCTGACCTTATTCCTCGAATCATATTTTGTATCTCATGTTCTGATAAGAACAGAAAAATAAAATCAACGGGGTGAACCGTTGCCCAGATAATCAACGATAAATAAATACCGTTGCCCTAAGCCAAAAGGCTAAACCAACTTTTATTCCAAGATTGATTAAGAATGAAGCCTAACAAGGGGTTTAAATACCCATCTACTAACTCTTAAAGTAGGAAACAAAATCCTAGAGATCCTAATCAACTCCAACTAGGAAACAGAATAATAAAGATCCTAATCAACTTCAAATAGGAAAGAAATAATAGAAATCCTAACTAACTCCTAATAGGAAACAAATATTAGAAATCATAATTAACTCCTAATAGGAAACAAATCAGGAAAATTAAAAAGAATAATTATTAATTAAACAGCCCGTAACCAGCCCACGGAGGTAGGCTCAAGCCCGTCCCGCCTTCGGTAAACCCACAGGGGGCTTCTTCCCCTCTTCTTCCAAGCCCAGATTCTGCTTCATATCAATTCCATCCCTCTTCGAAAAAACCTTGTCCTCAAGGTTGAAATCCGGAAACCGGCTCATATTTGTCCCCGGGGGCTGCCCCGTATCTTGAGGAAAGCTGTCACTTGATTTTTTTAGCTTGTTCATGAAATACCCCAAGTAATAATCATCGGACAGTCCGGGAACTTGACTGGCCAATTGAACAAAAAGATTATTATATTCCTCTACGGTTCCCAACTGTTTGACCCCGAACAGTCGTTTGAATCGGCTTTCTTTGAACCGTGAATCAAATCGGGCCACCTCTGTAAATTTCTCCGAGGTCATGCTCGGTTTTTGTGCCTTCAACCAGGTCCACCCGTCCAAGGCAGCTCCTTCCATGGCTACCGTAGCTGCTGTCACTTTCCTCTCAGGTAGGGTTTGATTAATTTCGAACTTTTGCTCAGCCCTAGCTATCCACCTAATCGGTTTTTTTTTCTGTCGAACATGGGCAGCAACGTTGGAGGAGTGCTGCGCGGAGGTCTATCGTTGTGTGTTGCCGCTACGATGGCGGCACCGATGACTGTGTCTGATAGTGTCTCCGTCGTGATCGATGGCACAAGGGCCTTGGTCAGCGCCGCAAGGGATGCGACGATCTCATCCAGCCGCCTGCCGTTTGCTTCCAGGGTTTGCTTCATCTCTGACAAATGTTCACTGATAGATCTCGTCATTGTGGCGGGACGGGATCC